ATCCCAAACATGGGATTTAATGTCAAACCCTGTAATAGGGAGATTCTTTATCCATGAGAATAAATTTCTAAACAGAAGGAGGCGTCTCCCTAGCCAAGGTTTTTGGTTTGCCTGTACCCTTGCAGCATGGCAATCGCTCCTTGTCACAACCACAAACCAGCTGAGAGGGAAGAGGTCACCACGGCAAGGGAGGGAGCCGGCCGAAAGGCAGAGAAAGTCACTTGTTAGGATCTCTGGAGGATGCCCAGCCAGCTCTCATTCAAGTTCAAGCAGCCCAAGAGGTATTTTCAGCTGGAGGACAGGAGAGGCAGCAGCTAGGATATGTGTGAAAGGTGCGGGCAGAGCAAAGATGGGAAAAGGGAGGAGGTGGTAAAATAGTACGAGATTTTCCTCCATCCTCAGAGGCAGCTGTTGCCAAAGCAAAGCTAATGACAAACAGAGAAAACAACTGACCTTTTCCTGAGTGTTTCCTGGTTGATACTGTTTAAAATCGGAATGCTGGAGAAGTGTAGAAGCGATGACCCAGGGCTGGATGCAGCCCTTACGCTCCCAGCACTGACATGTACGTTACTGATGTGTAACACAATCTCTGTGTCCCTTACACCCAGAAAAATGCAGGACTACGTAAGTTAGCATACGCATAGCCTCCTTTAACTTAGCACCAGCCTTCTTACAATTCAGCTGCATTTCCTGCCACACCAGACCAAAACCCAACATGAAATTCTACATAATATAAATCTACTGGTACATGAATGAGGTGAAATTAATGTCCCATGAAATCCCCCAGGTTATGAAGGAAGTAGACTTTGGGTACCAGATATCCTAAGTAGTGTCTCTCCAATCTAGCTGAATAGGGCAAGAACTGTGTCCTTCCATATACTTGAGCAGTTGCCCAAAATGGTGATGATAGCGCTGATCCTGACAAAAACACACAATGAAGATGCAGTATAAAAACTTTGTGAAAGACAGATGACAGTTATGAAATTCCTCATTGAGTCTGGAAATTGGACTGGATCTAACAAATGAGTTAAGAGTATCTGCAGTGGCTCTGATCCTGACAACTGTGCAGCGGACAGTATTTCATCCATATTTACTTCTTGGAAGACACCATTCATTTCCATTACAAACTGCAAGTGCTTTGAACATCTCCTCCAGGGCTTTGCAGGCTTTCTTTCCAGATAGAGTGACTTCTTTCCTATGAAGAATTAAATTTATTTCTGCTGTTACATAACAAAGGAGTGACACGTACATCTTAATATCAAATGCAACCACTCTTTTATGGCCCTTGGACACATGTGTAACATCTCATCTGAAGCCAAATAACCTCTGGAGTTGTTGGTTTGGGATTGCAACAGCTATTCTTGGGATTAAGACAGTTTGTGCTGTATCCATTTCATATAGATTCTTCATTGCTCTTGAATACCTCCAGAAAACTTAAAAGCTGTTTTGCGTTCCACCTCTGGTGGTTAAGAAGGTGGTGTTATCTCCTCCCAGATGTGCTCTTCCTCATCTTAACATAGGTGTTCAGAATTCATCAGCCAATTACTATAATTTGCCTGGTGTGAGAAATTGATGACCAGGATGAGGGTACAATGTGCTCCACAGCTCAGTGGATCTGCCGTGCGGCTCACTGCTCAGCAACAAAGGCTAATCAAAAGAATTTTCCCCAGTGCATCTATCAATTTCACTGGATCCTATTAAATACTAGACCAAAAATAAAAGCTTTGGTCTACAGCTTCAAAGCTCTGTGGCCCAAGTCATACTTAATCTATAACAGACCCAAAATAAGAGACAGAAAACTAATATTTATGCCGGAAATATAACATGATGCAGGATTTGCTTCTTTAGTGTGAAATAACTTTTTCCAGAGCCCAAATTTTATCTTCTGGTGGAAGTTACCTCCAATAAAAAAAGGGCAAGGCTAGTATACAAGTTGTGATTAGAACAAGCGGCCATCTCTCAACGCTTGAGACATGAGGGATTCAAAGTCTTTAACCTGCTTGCCTCCTGCAGAGCCAGCATTTGATGAAACAGGGCAACCATCTCCCTCCAGAGTCTCAGCTGGGATGGATCTTTTTATGCATCCAGCTTCAAACACCAGTGCCTCAAGGTCTACCTCTTAATTTGATGCAGAACTCTTAAAACCAGGTTCTGCATAATTTTATTTTCAGATGGAGTAGTTGGCCCTAGGTGGATTGTTTCCCTTCTTGTAGTTGTCTAAATCTGTGCTAAGAAAAATGAATGTTATTTAGATTGCAAGGTCTTCGGGGGGAAAACTGGCTTTTTAAGGGATCTGTCTCTGTTCACAGAATCAGGCAGATCAGATGAGCTCAAGATATAACATCTGTGAGTAATCTGGTGAAAATTACTAAATTCTATAATTGATATCCCCGAGACCCTGCAAAACTCCCATATGAGAAGCCTATCTCAAAGTATTGCATAGCCTTGTAATAAAGGTGGTTTTGAGTATGTTGTTGAGAATGAATGAAAGCATGGAAAGACTAAAATGAGGAAAACCAAAGCCACTGTGGCTGTTTAAGGCAGGAAAAAAAAAATGCAAAAGAGATCATATACATAGGCAAAACTATTTTTTCACAAGGATCCACAAGTAATTATCAATAATACTGATTGAGGAGGCATTTGATGAAACAGGCAACAAGCCTAAACAGGGTAAAGCTGGTCTGTGGAAATTGTTGGAAGAAGATGTCACCAAGATCAAGACTCTGTTAGGATTGACAGCAAAATAGATTTTTCTATTCTGCATTGCTTGCTAAATGTTCTTAAAAAGAAAATATTTGTATGATGGAGCTGCTATATGCTATCTAACCTTGCCCCAGGGTAAGCATGTTGCTTTTGCCTTCCTTTTTGTCAACAGGGGTTAAGTCAAAGTCTTAACAATGTAGCAGTTTGAATTAGAGAACTAATGCATTCCCATACTGATGTCTTGAACATCTGTGGTCTAGTCTGTATTTTCAGCTATTTGATCTTAAATATTCTGCAGTGTAACTCATCAATGCACTACATGAAAAATCTGTATTCTTAATGGAGTACAGGCTGGTCACTGGTCACCTTAAAACATCAGATTTTTTTTTTAATCCCTAAATAGGTATGTTTATAAGGGATAAATAAAAAATTGTTGCTTACAAGGTTTGTGTTTGACAAAAGACAGGCAAAATGTCAACTAAAAGATGAAGACAATGAGTTAAATTGGACTGCTGGGCAAACTGCATCCCTCCTCAATCAAGGCAGGATCCAACTAAATACAAAATGACATATTTGCAGATAATTTTCACAGAGCACATGTGACTATCCTGTTGGATTTTAGTGTACTCTACTGCTTCATTGAAACTGTGACCTGCTGGTTGCTCAGACCTACTGAATCAGTGGTCAGCAAGAACGTGCAGAGCAATGTTGTTACATGCTGCAGCCATATCTTCCCCTGGGTCATCACTGTTGAGCACAACATACTCAGCTTCTGATACTTCACTATTCTTAGTCTCAAGTTTCATTGCATTTGAAACAAACTACTATGTATTCATGAGCAGGCAATTCTTAAAAGTGATAGGAACTGTTAGCAGGAAGAACTTGCATGATTGCAGTAGGTCTTGCCCAGCATCTTTTGCTTACTTAATTTCTACTTGTTATTTGAAGCCATTTTTCTATAGAGCTGTCAAGAACCGTTTGTTTCTGCATTAGCAATACATAGTAATTACCAGGAGGAGGACTGGAAACGGCACGTACTGATGTATGAAGAAGTTTGATGGCGGACATAATAAAAAGTCCGCCCCACTGGTAACCCATGACATGCAAGTTTATTTCTAGAAGAGGGAAGCATCCTTCAGACACCAGCCACGGAGGGGCTAGCTCTGGGACGGCAGCGAGGTCCCCTCCGCTCCTGGTACGGCTGCTGTGGCCTTGGGTACCAGGGACACGTGGGGAAATGGGGGGGAAGGCGCCAATGGGGAGAAATTAATCACAGGTGGGGTTTTCTGCCATACGCTTTCTGTTGGAAGTATTGCTTACAGGTTCCTTCAAGTATCTTTGGTAAATTTAGTTTAGCTTCGGTTTAATGAAGCTTTCCATAGCATTTGGCCTCAAATAACCTTTTTATCCACGGGAAGCTTGATCTTTTCCCCTCAGTGTATACATGTTAACTTTGCATAGGTGTGTTTAGAACACGCTGAAATGTTTGCAACATTTGAAGGCGGGCGTCTCCACAAGCAGATGGGACGAAGGGAAGGGCTAGACTCAAGGTCTGCGGTGTGCAGTTCACCCAGCTCCGTGAGGGAAAGCCCGGGGGCGGCCCCGAGAGCCCCCGTGGGCCTGCGGAAGGGAAAGCCGTCCCCACGGTGAGCTCTTTCACGAGGGGCAAAGGCACGGTTTGGCGCCCCGTCGGACCGGCGCGGAATGCAGCGCCGCCGCGCGCCCCCTCAGGCGGGGCGGCCATTTTACCGCCGGGCTCCAGGCCGGCCCGGCGAGGCGCACCGCCCGTCCGCTGGGGCCGGGCCGCCGCCATTTCCGTGCGGCGGAGGGCGGGGCCGCGCCGCGCCGGGGCAGGCGATGGCGGCGGCGGGAGCGTTGCCCGCTGCGGCGGCCGCCGCGCCGCAGGCCCGCCTGGAGAGCGTGCGGGCGCTGGCCGGCCGGTTCCGGGAGGCGCAGCCCAGGTAGCGGGGAGGAGGGGCCGCCCTTGGCCACGTGTGTCGTGGGAGGGAGCTCCGGCCGCGGGAAGCGGCGGTGCCGGCGGGCCCGGGCGCTCCGTGTGCTGGCAGGCAGGGCTCGCCTCAGCGCCGGGCGCGCTCCGGCCCCTTTGGGGTGTCGGCTGCCGGCCGGGGGCTCCGCGGTGAAAGGGCCCCTCAGTGCTCCCAGAGCGGCGGCCGGGTGCCGCCGTCGCTGCTGTGAAACTTCTGTCTCCCCTACCCCCCGGGGGGGGGGGGGGGGGTGGCTGTTTGTGTGGGGCCCGGGGCCAGCGGGGTGGCCTGACCCTTCTCCCCTCTTTTCCCGCGGGGTCCCATGAGGAGGTGGCAGTCCACTCGTGTCCCTGCTCCTGTGGCAGGCGCGGGGCAGGGAGGAAAGCTTGGTGTCTCCCAGCCGCAGATGACAGCACTTGTCCCCCCCCTAGGCAGGTGTTTTCAGGTGGGTTGTAGCCGTGGGCGTAGCTGCTGTGGGGCGGGCAGCCACGGTGGAGCCTTGCTGGGTGGCTAGAAATGGGTAAGATGTGCCGGGGCAAGGTTGTGCAGGGCCACAGTTTCATGCCCGCCTGAGGTGAAACCCTCGGGACGAGGGTGGTGGTTGCAGGCCTCGGCGGCGGGGGGCGTGTGCCCTTGCAGCCGTGTCTGCAGTGGGAGGAAGGGTTGGATGCCCCTTAGTAGCTTTAAGACAGGGAGAGAAAGCATGGGGTTACTAGAGAAAGCAAGGCTGGTATGGAGCGTTGCTGTGCCTGTAGGGTCGGGAGGGGACCGCTGCAATACCGAACAATGCTGTTGGCTTTGGCAAAGGTTGGGCAAGTGGAGGTTCAGCTGCAAGACTGCGCTTAGAGTCATGGTTTTTGCTCTTCCTGGAAGGTGGGAGGAGGCATAGGTTGGTGTGAAGTTTGTGCTCCTTCCTAACAGGAGCTGTTTGAAGGTTGTTGCTCCTACGAATGAAGAAATCAAACTTTTTAGCTAAGCATAAAACTGTGATGGTGTTTGGTGTTTTGTTGTTGTTGTTTTGTTTGTTTGTTTGTTTGTTTTTTTGTTTTTTTTTTTTTTTTACTTGCCTATACTATTTTTGTTAATTAAAGCCACATTTTAAAGTTGGGTGGAGTGGGGGAAGATGCACTTACAAATATTCTCCTGAGATCTTCATGTGTACAGGAGACCTTCATCTGGTGTTCATTTAAATTTCTCCAGGAAGAGAGGGGGACCTGTGCAAATTTTGGGCTTACTTGCTGATGCTTTCTTTGCCTGTTTCTTCCCTTCATCCCTGAAACCTCTGCCACTGTGTTTGACAGAATAGTAGATATTCCCCAAAATAGCCAAATTTAGTGGGTGCAGGTGGGCTGGAAGAGGGACACTGTAATTGCCCTTCCAGAAGGACAAATCTATAGTGTTAGCTTACATCCTATAGGATGTGACAGAATGGATCTGAGAGCATCTTTTGGCAATACATTTGCCAATGGTGGAAGAGACTGTTGGTGCTGTTGAACTGGAAGATGTAACCCAATGGATGTTCTGTATTTGAAGTTGTGATATTTAGTGACGACAATTCTGTTATTATGTGATTGTTCAGTGCTTGTAGAAACAAAATAATTAAAAAAATTCAGTTCTGGTGGTCTGTAAGTCAGAAGCAAATAAGATGAGGAAATAATGCCCCAACTATGAGATCATTGTGTGGAATTTGGGAGACTTGAATTCAACTGTGTGCTTTTGAGCAAATGATTTGATTTCTTTATGCTTCCATTACTAATCTACAAAAGGAAGAAAATGGCTTTTTTCTATTACCAGGCATATTATGAAGATAAATACTTTAAAGGGTTTTTAGGGACTCTTCTTACGGGAGTTGAATTGTGTAAGTACCTAAAACATAGAGTGGAAATATAGAGTTGCAAACTTTTGGATTGTTTGCATAATTCCTGACTGATTTTATGGTTTTTGGAGCCCTGGTCTTTTGAATAGGGTTGCATTAGTGCTTTTAACTCTGTGTTCACTATGATGTTATCTTGTACAGTTTCTATTTTTAACAATCAAGCGCTGGCATCTTAAAAGGAGTGACAGTAATCTTCATTTTGGCATGGATATGTGAATTCTGCCTCTTTGTTTTGACTTAATGTGAAATTGTGCATGTCTTCCTTCTGTGAGAGCCAGGCTGCTATACCCTTTGCTTCTGCTTCCTTTTGTATTCCTGCAGAATACTTGATGCTGAAATCAAGGACAGGTGGCAGTAGCAAATGGTGAAGATCCTGTTTTAGGCAACAAAACATAGGAAACAGAAATTTGGAATATTCACAGAGCAGTTCTGAATTAATTTCAAGGCCTGTTTACAGTAGATTTTTTTTTTTTTTTTAATCTAAAAGCTACTTAGCAGGCTCTTTGCTAGTTTTATAGATTAATATTTAAGAGATTAGGGAAAAGGTTATGGAAGGAAAATATTTTCCCTTTCAAAAATATATTTTAATTACTTGTAGCTGATATTTTTATCTGTATGTGAATCTTTGTCATACTGCTGGAAAAGACTATTTTTTAAAAAATAGTTGTAAGCACTGCTGTGGAACAGTTAACTGAAATTACTCCTGACTGATTTTTTAATTTTAGTTAAACACTTACTGCCCTCCTCACTAATTTGAGAATTTAGTTTTTTGTGCAGAAGAATGATTTTAATTCAAATTTCTTTGTAGTACACACTCAAATTGCGGTGATGTAGAAACGCTTAAGTGCAAGAGTTGCATTTACATTTTCTCTGGATAGAATCCTGCTTTACCGAACAGCCTTTAAGTAATTCCTTGTTTCTTTGGAATAACTTTTGCTTATTCACTTAGGCTTTTGTGTTGTAGGAAGAAATTTGATTTATGCCCAGAAGGAGCTGACTTGAGCATATTAATTTTCTTTCATAGTGTGCAAGAGGGATTTGGAGGTCTGTCTCTCCTCACTGATATGTAAAAATCCACATGTAGTTCCACATACACAGTGAGGACAGGCACTTCCTTTTATACTTCACAGTTGCTCTGTTTAGGATAAGCAAGAGTTTCATCTTTGTATTTTACTGGAAATGTCTCCTTAGTTTTTTGTTTGGTGGTTTATTTGTTTGGTGTTTTTTTTTTTTTTTTAAATATAATATTAAGAGAAAAGTTGTGGCAGTGGCCCAGTATGCTTGTCATCTGGTATCTGACTAAAACTTCTGTTCTGCTGCATACCTCTGTAAAGAGAATAGAAACCTTTCCAGGACAAGAATAACTTTAAGGTGTCCTTTTAGCAGTAGAGTCACAAGAATGCTCACAGAAGTACTTGCAGCTTTAACCTCTGTTTTACCAATTTAAAATAATTGAATATTGTACAATAGTACATGTTTTGCACTGACCACTGACTTCTGTATTTTGAAGTCAGGTCAGAAAATGACCAGTTTCATATGATAATCTGACACATGGCATAGACAAATACAAAGGAAACTGCAGCTGGATTTAGAGTTTTCCTATTTTAGAATAATTTCAGTGTTTAAAAACTCAGCTGACTAACAGCTAATGATTCTGTATGGCATCTTCACTCACTGGAGAAAACACGGCTTTTGTGTCTGGGACAGGGTCTGTCTGGGTGCTCCTTTACCAGACTGTAGCTCTCCTGATGTTCAGAAAAATTTGTGTCTGGATACATTTACCGTGTGAACTGTGGTATGTCAGCCCCTGAATCTGCTTTTGGCATGCATGCCTGTCATGAAGCAGCAGGAGCTGCACTACTTCTTGTAAGTCAAAGGTTCAAGTCCCATGAATGTCTTCATGTATTAAAACCGAAACCAAATTCCAAACCTTCTTTCTGGTTATATGAGCTCCGCTGTTTTCTTTATGACTGAGGGCCAGCTCTGATTTTGGTCTTTGTTGTGCCACTTCGGTATTTTCCCCATATTACTACTGTAAAATGTAGCTTTTTTTTTTTTTTCTACACACCACTTCTACACTCCCCCCCAATAATTCTCATTGATGCTATAGTGTTTTGGGGGTGTTTTTTTATGTTTTCATGTAGATGGAGCTTGTGTAAATGTATTGATCAACTGAGTCTGTAGAACAAAATACATATTTCCTGGAGATCTGAAGTCTAATGTTGTAGTAATTCAACGGCATTTGTGTACACTGTCATATTTCTTGCAGTACAAGTACTCTCCCTTCTTTGTAAGTCTACTCCACACCCTGTCAGACCTCAATATTGGATGCACTGTACTGTCAGTAAGATGTAGATGAACTTGAATGTGTCGCTGTTGAAGCAACAAGAGTGATAAGAGGCTTAGAAAACCTGAACTGTGAGTAAAGGCTGCAAGGATTGGTTTTATATAGTCTAGGAAAGAGAATATGGCAGGAGCAGGGGTGGGAAATATGAGTCTTTAGACATGTCTAAGGGTGTTACAGAAAGGATGTGTAGATGTGGCACTTAGGGACGTGGTCTGGTACTGGAATTGGCAGTGTTAGGTTAACGGTTGGACTCGATCTCAAGGGTCTTTTCCAAACTGAATGATTCTGTGATTTGGCTTATGGACATGTGATCACTTATGATAAGGAGTAGGTAGAATTTCTAGTCGCATAAATGTTTAGACATTTGTGTGAGCAGCAGAACACAGGTAATACTGTATCATCCACTGATGTTTGACCAAGAAATTCTGAAATTCTTTAGGAAAAGTTTTCTGTGGAAACATATTTTATTTAATATTACTTTCCATTTTGTCTCACTTTCTTCTGTTCGTAGCTTAGGAGGTATTTCTCAACAGTATGTCTCAGATCCTAACTTCCCTGTTTGATCTTGAGTGCATGATAAGTCTCTTTCAGGTTCGAGGAGGCTGCATCTGGATTTCCCTTTTTTGAGTCTGGTCAGAAGTAGTGGATGGGCAAATTTATTGAACTTTCCTGTAGTAATGCCATAAACACGCTTCGGTGTGGCTTCTTTTCACCTTCATGTAGTATCAACTGAGTCAGCAATGTTTGTAATGTGATGCCCTCGTCTCCTTTCTGAACATAAAATCAGGGGAGAGAGTGTGTGAATAGCTGAAGTTTGGAAACATTGTGCATATGTGTGTGACAGGTCATCTGCAGATGTGCAGGTCAGTCCTGGGAAGTCTGGTGAATCTACGTGGTGCAGCAGCATCAGCTCTCTCATCCATTCATATAGTATCTGTGTATATGCTTATGGTTTTGTAGTGTTTTCCTAGGCCTTGATGCTCTTAAGAAGTGGCATGGTATTTTTTTTGTGTTGGGGTAGTTTGCTGAAGTAGATTGAGTTGACGTTCTTCCTCGGCTTTGATTCACACATCAGCCACCAGCTTTCTTCACAGCTTCTCTTTCTCCCTCTGAAATTTGTGACAGGGTATTTTTTATAGTGAAGCATCTGATACCTTCTTCTGAAACATGCAGTGCTGGACATCTAAACTGTGTTCATTAATTAAAGCAAGTCCTAATTCTTAAAACATGTGGTGTCATGTATAAACATGCTAGCTGTATACATTAGGGAGACTTTTTTTTTTTCTTTTTAAATAAAGATTCAAAAGAACTGTTGGAAAGCTGTGAGGAATAATAAAGCAACACAACTCCTTCACAGCCCCTTTTCTGAAAAGGCTGGTGTGATGACAGTGTGCATATATTTTGCTTTTTCAACTTGAAAGACCTTGTATACTATGGATAGCTAAAGATAGTTGCAGCAACATCTTTGGGTTTACAATAAGAAGTGTCATAATACAATCTTTTTAATAGAAATGCATTTTTTGTTCACTACAAATTTATTTATTTCAGAGAAATGGCAGAAGAAAGTATATTTCGGGATCTCCTGGAAGTCCTGATGAGTGCCTCAAGTGAAATTCAGCAGGCCTGTGAGGGCTCCTGTGAATCTGTAGATCTAGACACCTGCCTGCTGCTCTTAGCAGAGTGTTTCAGATGCCTGAGGAATGCCTGTGTTGAGTGTGCCAAGAATCAACATGTCATGAGGTACAGTTATGATCCATTTTAACCCATACAAAAATATAACCTTCTGATGTTTGTGTGGTTTTATATAGAGATTCATATTTTACACTGCTGTGTTAGTTGATTTATTAACTGGTATTTCCTGCTTGATGCAATCACTAGAAATGAAGTATGCAAGAAGCAAAAATAGATGACCTATTTGTAGGTCAGAGTTTGGGGCACTGCTGAATAACAGAGCAAAGCGTTTGTGTCCTCAGTATGAGTGGATTATGCAAATAATATAAGCCTTTTGAAAGTCTGACTGTCCTTTTTTTTTTCTCTTCTCATTTCTTTGATTTTTTGGATAACATAATGAATAAGTAAATAGTCTTAATTATCAGTTATAGGATTAGTATGATTTTTTAAGGTACATTTAAATCTGTCTGGCAGTCATGGCAAAAGGTAGTGTTTAGAATTGTGTGTATCAACCTTGACAGGTATACAGGTAAACTGATATTAATGGATAATAAGAAGTCGGTCTGGCTCCTTAAGTTATTTAGCCTGTCTTTTTTTTTTTGTATGTGTCTGTTGCAACATTGAGGGGATGCTTGGGAAACAAACAGCTGTAGTTACTAAAAACTGTTAGTCTACCTACTGGTTTAAAAAAATACCCCAAAACAACAACAAGCATCATCTCATCTCACTCCCCCACCAAGAACCCAAAACCAAACAACCAGAAGAAAACCTGTTTTGCCCCCAAACGTGTTACAAGTTTGTTAGATCATGAAGAATTGTTGTGGAGTACAGTCTTAAAATTTTGTTTGTTGGGACTTATCAAATTTTGCTTATTGAACTAAATATAATTTTGACATGGGACAAAGTGAGAAGTTCTATGCTGGGGCAGATTTTTGCTAATGCTACAAAAGTTGCGGGACTTTTCGTAAAAGGCATTAGTTTTAGAATAATGTAAATTTAAGTTCAGGCTCTTACCATTTTGTACTGGCAGTGCTAGAGCTCGTAATCGTGTTGTGGGTCAAGGAACTGATCTGACAGTTTATATACTCATTTATAAATTTTTGCTGGGTGCATGTTCAAGCCATTCTGGCTTCTTTATTGTAACTTACTGTAGCTCTATAGTGACTCATGCTAATAAAATGGGGGAAACAGAATTGTGTGGCTGGGAGTTTGTACGATTGCCTCTTTTCAGTAGCATGACAAATACAACCTTGTTATGGATATCTGAATTCCATTAGAGAGTAAAAATTAGTGGAATATGGAATAATGGAATTCAGATATCCACCCTGCTGAACAAAAATGTGCTCTGCACTGGTTATACTTGGGCTGTGTACTTGCCCTCACTAGCAAAGAGTTAACATAGCCTTGCTCATTTAGGAAGCTGGGTGCTAATAATTGTACTTTCCTTTAGAGTGCAGGAGAGGAAAGGCCTGTGTGTAGTATAGCAAGTTCTGACCACATTTCTAACAACAAAGGATTTAGTGGGTCACTCATCAGATACTGTTTTGTCTTTGTAGCAGCATGACAATTTATGCTTCTTTTAATACCTCACTGGGTGCTTTGAGCCAGGTGTATATTACCCATGTGTTTGTGTTGATTTGAAACAGTTGCAAATGCACAACTTTAGGAAATAAATGTCCCAAATGATCAAAAGTTGTGAATGGAAGGAAAATTATGTGCCATTGCTGTTGAAGTGTGCAACATTCAAATATTCAAAAAAAACACCCCCCAAACTACAAATTGTTTGATCAGAATTGAAACTGATTGTTTCTAGGAAAGGATGCAAAATGTAAGTACATGGACTGTGCGACAGCTTTTAAACCATTGGGGAATATCAAGCTTGGTTCTATCCAGAGTCAGGTTTTTTTTGCTTTATGTGCTGTGGAGAAATTTGGGGTCTGAAGGAATGGGGAATGTTTTAATAGATTGTATGTATACCAGTGTGTGTATGTGTGTATTATATATTTATAGATGTATCTGTGGCTTCTCTTCTCTGTTAGAACTTAAAGAGGAGTATCTGTTTGTCTAGAAAACATCTGCAGGTGACAGTTAGTCAGCATTCACATGTGATACGATATTTTTAAAGTAACTCATGCATGGGTGTGGAGGTTTGGTAGAGGTGGTCTTGCTGTGTTCTAAAGTTTCAGATGTTCTGTCTTGCCTGATCTCAAAAATCTTGACTTCTAAAGTACAAACAACTTAAAAGCTGAAAACTTCATCTGCTTATACTGTATTCTTTGACTTTCGTCTTTTAGTCCTCTTGCATGCACATCTTGGCATGTATGTTGTCTACTTCCAGGATTTCTGTTCTTTGGCTGTAGAATTATTTTGGTGTTTCTCATTCCAGATGGCTTCACTTCACTGATTTATCTTTACTACCAGCATGTTCTTCCATGTCTGAAAGTGTTCAAGATCAGGTTAGATGGGGCTTTCAGCTACCTTGTGTAGTGGAAGGTGTTCCTGCCCACGGTGGACTCGATGATCTTTAAAGATCCCTTCCAACCCAAACCATTTTATGATTCTACCTATGATTCCTTCTCACTGGAGAAGGGATAAATGACTACTTGACCTTCCCTGCTTACCTCAGAGTTCTGTTTCCCTTTGAACAGACCCTGTTCATTTGTTCGCTGTCACTAATCGCTTTGTTGGTATTTAAAATCCACAAAATTTATTACTAAGTAACATACTTTGAGAGTTTCCCTCAGCACTTGAACTTCAAACAAAGCAAAGTTTTTACACAATAAAGCTGTTTAAATTACAGGAATAAGCTTCTAATTTTTAACATCTGATTTAGAAGGATAGCAAAAAGAGAGGAAAGGGTACTTAGCTCTGAAGGTACTGTATCCGAAATTGTTCATATGTTAATGTGCTGGCTGATGCAGTAAACCTGTTTGTTTTGCTTCTGGTGCTGCTAGTGTGGCTGCTGACAGTCAGGCACAGTTAAGTAGGAGAAACTGCTTTTTACTTCAAAGTTTCTGAAGGTGTTAAAGACTTGCCATTAACTTCACTGAAAGGCCTTTTAACTTCGAGTGTATTTCATATCAACTGATTATTTTCCTTTTTTTTTTTTTTTTTTCCCAATTTAATGATAGGAACTTGGGTCTCATCTCCACATCTGTCCATTTGATCAAATTGCTCGATGGAATACAAATCAAAGAAGAATTGTTATTGACTGGTAAGGCTGTGGATTTTGTTAAATATATAGCCTGCACTATTTTTTTTTTTTTTTTTTTTTACGTGGGAACAGTAGTGCTGGTAAGATGTCACCTTACTAATGCATTTTTTTCATAAATAACCTCAGTTGTTTCTTGAATTGCAGTTAAGAATTGGGGGAGCCTTCTCTTTTATGCTGGTTGAAAAAAAATCTCATCCCTAAGTCTGGTCCAATTGTATTTTCCCTCAGCTGATCCCTGTATGTTGTTAAAGGAAAGATATGTGGGAAGTTCTTTAAACTTAACCAGGATATTTGAATTTCAAAACGGAAAAGTTCTTGTAATACCTTTATTCAAAATATATTCTGCTGTTTTACTGTCCTTTTATTTGATCTGCAAGCATAGTGAAATGGAGAAATACTTCTTTTTCTTATTTTGATGGCACTTGAAATAAATTATCTGATTCTAGGAAACAAATTTTGGCTGTGACTTTTTTGAATTATTTTAAAATTTTAATTTCTGTACTATAGTTGCTGGCCAGTCAGAATAATAACTGCCAAGAACTAAGTACTGATTTGAGTAGCGTTCCTATTTCCTTAATAGATGAGTTTTTTCTTTTCATGCAGTGAAAAGAAAAATCTGACTATAGTATCCTTCCTCCTTGATGGTAGCTATTGCTACAGATTTCTACCAAACTCATTCCACTGGTTATTAGGAATTTTCAGTAATTCTCTTCACAATCTGTGTTTCCCTGGGTGTGCATGTGGTGCTTGATACAGGGCGTTGGGCCTCAGTCTTTACCATCTGTGGCTGCAGAAAGTAGGGAACATTTAGTTTCTCTTGCTGCTTTTATTTCTTTTCACTCCCATTACTTGGATGAGGTTTTTACTGAGTTCCTGTTGCTGTTTTTCTATCATTTTGTGAAAGCAAGTGAAAGTACTGTCATTCAGTAACTTACCCTCAAGCACCTTTATGAAGCTGGGAAGGAGAAGTGAAGTCCAGGATACTGTTTTTCCTTTTGCTGCTATATTTGGCTCAAAATGAAGCCTTTTGGGTGTGTGATGGTATTATGCTTAAGCCATGTTCACTCCTTCACCTGTTGCTGCAATCCTTCTTCCAGGGAAGGATTGGTGATGCTAGCACAGCCCTTCAGTGTGGGAAGACCAGAACCTAAAACCTCTGGGGGGGAAAAAGGCAGCTTGCTCAATCTTAGAATCACAGAATGGTTTGGGTTGGAAGGGATTTTAAAGATCACCTAGTTCCAACCCCCCTGCCATGGGCAGGGGCACCTTCCATCAGACCAGGTTGTTCAAAGCCCTGTCCAACCTGGCCTTGAACCCTTCCAGGGAGGGGGCAGCCACAGCTTCTCTGGGAAACCTGGGCCAGTGCCTCACCACCCTCACAGTGAAGAATTTATTCCTTACAGCTAATCTAAATCTACCCTCTTTCAGTTTAATACTGTTACCTCTTGTCCTATCACTACGTGCACCTGTAAAAAGTCCCTCTCCAGCTTTCTTGTAGGCTCCCTTTAGGTACTAGAAGTCTCCCTGGAGCCTCCTCTTCTCCATTCATAACCATAAAGAGGAGAAACTGATAACTCACAGGAGTGACTCTCAAGCCATGTCACTGAGTTGGGCAGGGAAGGTTGGGGAAAGGCACAGAGGGCAAGAATGTCCTGCCCCACATTTGTGAACCCCTTTGTAAACCAGTAAGAGAAAAAGAGAAGCGATGGGAACTGAAGTGCTGGTTTTGTCCAGTCTGACATTGTCCCTATAGGGTCCTTGGCAGTAGTAGGCTTGAAAGGCTGTCCTGGGGAAGTGGACTTCCCACCTTCAGCTTATTCAAAGTGTCAGAAAGTGTGGTGTGAGAATACCACCGTTCAGCGGTGCCTCCCAGCATCTGCAGGAGAGTGAGCAGGATGTACCCCTTGTTGGTTACATGCATAGCCTGAGGTTTCCCCTTTAGTTGTGTGGCTGCTGACCCCTCCTTGGTGGGTTATCATATGCATGTGTGCTGTTCTCCTGCTGCTGGGATCTGAAGCAGCAGCAGTGAATGTTACTCAGCAAAAAAAAGGAGGGAATGGAACCCGGTAATTTGATTAACTGCTTCAGACTCCTTTTTCTATCCTGAGGACGTTGTAAAATCTTTTTTTATCACTGTTGAAAATTATGGGGGACATTGACCAGGAAGTTTTTAACAGTATTTCTATAAAAAGTATTTTGTGACTGTTACTCTACATAGCTCTTCAGCAAATGAGTTTGAGTTGTAATTAAAATCTGATATACTGACCCAGGATAGATGGTTGGTTTGATACTGTATGTGGTATCGATCTCACTGGGATACAACTGTGATGTGTATGGTTTAGGTATTCCATTTATGTTAGTACAACAAAAAGAAATTACAGACAAGCAAGTGTTGCGAATTCCTTGCTGAGTGATGTGATGAACTTTGTTCTAAGTGAAAATTAAGCTAGTGCCTAGAGCACCAGCTCCTTCTGCAGGGTATACCTCAGAAGTTAACAGTTACATTCAATGTGAAATTAATCATACTTTGAAAAGTGAGAGAGATTGCTAAATTGGATTTGGATAGCACTGTTGAAACAAAAGGAACCCATGAAATTAGTAAATGTTACTGTGTTTATTAACTGTATTTCTGATTCATGATTCTCCTCCTCATATTTCATATAGGAAATCAGGTCACAAGGCTAGAATAGGACGTGTATTTTGTTCTAGCAGATAATTATGTGTGGAGTGGAATATTTCAAGTTGTTCATTTGGGTATGTGTCCTGTTTCCTCCTTTAAATGGCTGCTTGGATTTGATGATCCCTCTTGGTGCCTGTTATATCCTTAAGGTATTTTAAATACCTTCATGTTGCTTCCATAGCAACAAAATAGAAGAATAAAGAGGTAATGCTGTATTGCACAGTGAGCAACACTAATGTTTCAGTTCATGTCCCTGTGGTCAATTCCCAGAGCAAGTAATCATAGGCTAAATAAATTTAAAGTTTCAACAGTATTATATTTATGAAGAAGAGAGATTGAAAATTCTTTGTGTAGACTTATTTTAACCTGATCTGTGGTATGTTTTCACTCTTTTTATCTGTTGGTAACTGGTAAGACTGGTAAGTCTCTGAGTGGTGTGGTAACTTTTGTAGGAAAGTTTGGGGTAGTACAATTTGTAATGGATAAAACCAGAAATGAAATAAAGTATATAATCTTTGGCCACTACTGTGACCAGTGTGGTGGTTCTAAGGGAGGGAACGAACTGCCTGTTCTGACAATATACTAGTGATCAAGGCAGCAAAAAAGGAGGTGCAGTCCAAAGCAGTGTGTTAAAAAAGTGTTGCTAAGATTAATTCAATTAAACCCAGACTCCTTTGCATTCTCTCTGCTAGGAGAAATACTTTTTAAAATAGTTTATCTTAGGCTCAAGTGTTATGTACATGGTTAATTTGGCTTCTCACATCACAAATCTACTGCTAGTTTTAAACATATCTCTCTTGTTTTTTTAATGCAATAAAAAGTTAGATAAATTCCTATATGCTTGTAATGTACTTGTCCCAGGCAGCTGTGGAAAAAGCTGTTGTTTTAAGTACATGATATGCCATTAAGGCAGTGGGCCAGAAAACCTGAAGGTGAGTTGGTATGTCTGTCCTGGAATAGCTCTTTAAGGCTTCAGATAGGTTTAAAAATAAATAGTTAATTCATACATATGGCATATAAAGATTGTCCAACGCCACCTGCAAGCCAGCCGCCCTTATGATAATAATCTTTCTTTTCAAAATAACATTTTTAGGCTTTCCCTGTATGGTGTTGCTGCAGATAGCTCTTTGTCCCCCCTCTTCCTTCCTTCCTACTTCCCAAATTAGTTTCAGTTGCATTCCATAGCCTAGATTCTCTTCTCATAATTGCTTACAATACATAGCAGTAATTTGTCTTGAGCAATTCCTATTTTGTAGTACTTGGAGAAGGGAACTTGCTGACTTTGTACAGTGAAAGCCAACAGCTAGATGAGTGCAAGGGTTGATGGGCAGTGATGCTTAACAAGTGTTTAACAATTTGTAGTCCTTCTGGGCAGCATCAAGACTGATTTGTGAAATAAGTCACATGTACTTGTAAACATGCTCTGTTCTTCTTGCTCTATCAGTCTTCCCTCCTCTCTGCAAGAGATAGAACTTCCCAGTCAAGTAGAGAAAATTCAAGTGCTACACTTCTTGGACAGTATCTAAAAACTGGACTTCACCTCAGTGTTCTTAAAACAAGCTGGTGATTGTGTAAAGAGGTACTTAAGCTTTTAGATTACGGAGCTTGGTTATTCCTGTTGGGAAGACAGAAAAGATGACAAGTGCTGCTCCCCTCTCCCCAGTTCAGAATTAATTTGAATAGGGTTTGAGGGTGTGGGAAATGTAGCTACTCATGTGGAAATGCTGCATGCCAGAAGGTCTACTACATTTCTTCGTTAAGTGGCTTAAGACCACAGTTTTCCAACAGATAGCTAGTAAGATACTAAAATTTTTACTTTGAATCTTAGAAAAAAAAATTAAGTCTCTGCAGAATATAGATTTAACAGAATTTTTATAGTGCCCTCTCCACATCCCTTTTGTTTTAGTTCTTTTTTTAATTAAAACAAAAAAAGCCTCATCATAGCTTTTTTTTTTTTTTTTTTTTTTCTGCTGTGGGTACAAAGACCAAGAACACTTGCCAGAGGAGCAGGCTGAAGAAGTTGCCAGGTGAACTTTCACTGAACTTAAAGCAGACCCAGATCTCTTAAAACCTACGAAGTAGTTCAGTATGTTAGGGATTGCAGCAGACATAGGAAATATCCTTGTCAGAAGCCCAAGTAGAAAATCTCCTTCACTTCATAGCATGTGTCTTGGTTTGGTTATGGGGTGGTTTTTTGGTTGGTGGGTTTTTTTGGTGTTGTGTTTTTTGGTGTTTTGTTTTGTTTTTTTTTTTTTTTTTTGCCTATGGCAAAAGTTAAGCTTTCCATCAGAATCTAGCAGACTTTTGGGAAGGTACATTG